TTCAGCTAAATCGGAAAAAAAGTTTATAATAATATAGTGTCTAATGTTGGTATAGATAATGAATGGTACGGAACCCTTCGTGCGCGAGTCCGACTCGCACTTGACCAATTTTATTTCGGAAAATCCCGGTTTCTAAAAGGCGCGGTACCGAAATTTCCGGTTCCGGAAACCCTACTGCCAGCTACTTCAATTATTGTGGCTCGCTCTGTATATGAACATAATCATAGAAGAAGAAGAAGGATTTTATATAAGCCGCATCAGCTGCTGGGCCATTTAGCGGCATTGATCAAATTAAAGTTAAATTAAACTATATTAATGAACCCAAACCCGATGTCCTAATAAATTGGAACAAAGAATGTAGGTTATTAGCATCAAGAACGGAAGCCAGATCGCCATTCAGACCAAATGATTGTCTTAAGTTATTGAAGAAGGGACATTCTATTAGGAGGTGGTACAATGTTAATTGGTTGCCACAATGAGCAGTGCCACAATGAGCAGTTAGGCGGGGGGTCGCCTTTTAAAAGGAAAGAATGGGTGAAATAGCGGTGACCAAAACCAAACCTGAGCTGATTCCAGATGACTTCCTCACTTCTAGACCGTGATCGAGCTATAGAAACTTGAAAGAATTGAGGTTTACATTCATATAGCTTATTTGAACTTCCGGCCACTTCCCACTCTGCCTGAATACCACTATTGTGGACATATGTAGAAATTTAAGTTCAGAGATAGAAAATGCAAGTGGTATAAAATCTCCATTATTTGCCGCAGTCTTAGCAATCTTATCAGCATCTTCCCTACCTCTTATACCCACATGGCTAGGAATCCATACTAGACCCAACGTTGAACCTTTAGATATTAAAGAGTGATGCAAGTCGAGCGATTTAACGGCTAGAGGGTGTTTTGGTGATAATTCGTTTAGGCAATGTAATGCATTTAGTGAATCTGAACATATCACCCATTTGGAAGGAAGTAGGTTGGAGATTATTCTTAGTGATTCCTTAATAGCAAAAAGTTCGGTAGAAAGGATGCTGGTGGTAGGAAGTAAGCGATATTTATAAAGGCTCCAGTACACGTTTGGCCAACTAGTTGGACCAATGAGTTGGGCCAAAAGTACGTACAGTGCTTACACGTTGGTAAAGTTGCTCAGTCTGCATTGGCCATTTATAGACGAGAAGGATGGATGTGGAAACCATCGCAGCCGCGGCAATTTATTTGTACAGTGCATTCAATTTTTATAGAAAGGTGCACCAAACGAAAGTGATTAAAAAAAATGGCGTAAAAGAAATTGCTGGATGCTTAGTCCAAAGCTTATTCCTTTCATAGACACAGATCCAGCAGACGTACTGTACTGTACTTTCTGCCGATAGCAACTCGAAACACAAACAAGTCTCAACCAACGACCAACGTGTAAACGCTGTTTTGTATATCGCACCAAGGTCCTTTGATGTGTTCACGAAAAACCGATAACGTTCGGTTTGTAAACCAACGCTGGCTGCCAATCACCAATTAACGCCAAGTGGTTCTGTACACGTTGGCCCAACTCATTGACCCAACTAGTTGGCCAAACGTGTACTGGAGCCTTAAGACATATTGTTATGTAATACAACTTATTGTTATGTAACATAATTATAGAATGGATTCATAATAAAATTATGCTCATCTTCAATTCATAATTATATCCCGCAAATCCTAATAACCTCGCGAATATAGTTTAGGCACTCGGGGTCATGTGACGTTAACGAGGCCCGTCCCTATTTACCCCATCTTCCCCTATTATTTCCGTAAATAAACGTAATTCACTTTACGCATCGCTCCACGTCATCAGCACGAGCCTGTTTATGAGCGGCTTAAATACCGAGTCGATTTATTTCGATGAAAAATTTTGCAGCGATCGCCACTCTCTCGGGTTTCATTTTATTTTTGGGATAATATTCCCCTCTTTTAAATGTGTGTACGTTTTGATGCTTTAATAAAGTTTAATTTAAAAATGGTTTAATAGGATTAATACAAACAAGGCTTTAAGAAACGTTATAGGAGCTTATATATACACCGAAAAAATTATATGTAATTTTACAAAAAATATATACAGCGTTGTTTACCACATTATATGACACAGAGTATTGTAGCTAAACGATTAGATTTTTACAAATTGTAAGTTTTGGGTTCGTTGAAGGACTATTAGAGATACAATTTAAAAACATACAAGATATAGAGTGTCCCAAATAAGTAAAAAATATTATAGTTGTATTTTTTTTAATGAAACACCCTGTATATTATTCTATTTTTAGATTCTACGATTGAAATAAAGGTAAATTTAATTAAGTTATATCACACTTAAACCTTACCGGTTTTGAAATATTTTCAATTTTGTAAAATTCTACTAGCTTCATTTCTCCAAGGGTATCATATTTGGAGCAGTTATTATTAATCAACGTAAAGAGTTAATTAATGTATTTGAATAATGGGGTCATATTAATTGGTCATCTTTAACAAAAGATATTTAAACAGTTTTTTTTTATTTTTTATAATATAATATTAGTATTTGTACTCTTTGAAAATTTGGTACGCCTCTAAAAGCGATCTAAAATGTCAATATTCTATGGGTATGATAAATGGGGTCTAAATTATAAGAAAATGCATTTTCTACGAAAACCTGAAGAGATAGGCAAAAGTTCTATGATAAAATTTGATGATTAAATTGTGCATCTGATTCTCGTAAAATATACAGGATGTTTCATTTAAATTAAACAAGTTATTTCCGTTTAAAGCTAGTAATTATGTAATATAAATTTTTAGACCCTCTGTATAAGGTAGTATTTTGTTTATTATTGCAACACAATATCTGATTAATAAATAAACTTTAGTAAATATTTAGTATTAAAAACTTTGATACCCTTGGAAAAATGAAGCTTTGAAATTTTTACTGCAATTTCATGAAATTGAAAATATTCCAAAAACGGTAAGGTTTAAGTGTCATAAACCTTAATCAAATTTACCTTTATTTTAGTCGTAGAATCTAGAAATCGAATAATATACAGGGTGTTTCATTAAAAAATACAACTTTAATATTTTTTCTTATTTGGGACACTATGTATCTTGTAAAAATATTTTTAATTGTAGCTCTAATAGTCCTTCAACAAACCCAAAATTTACAATTTGTAAAAATCTAATCGTTTAGCTACAATGCTCAATATCGTATATGGTGAACAACCCTCTATTATTAGACACATTATAATGTTTTTAACAAAAAACTTTTAAAAATTATATATTTTTACGTATTTTCACAAAAAAAATGATATTTTGCAAAATGGTTTATTGATATACAGGGTGGTCCGAACTGTATTCCGGAAACTTCGGCAGCATATTCTACAGATAAAAATAAGTAAAAAAGTTCGTATAAATGTATGTCCAAAAATGCTTAGTTTCGGAGATACAGAGTGTAGAAGTTTAATTTTTATTTCGATTTTTTCTAAATAATTTGTGAAGTAAGGTCAATATTTGGATGAAAATTTATGGATCGGTGTTTTTTGACATGAGAAATTTGATTTTGATGTCAATATGACACCCTTTTGTAGGTGGCGCCACCTACATGTGTTTTAACTGTTTTGAAGAGTAATAACTTTTCGTCGGTGCCTGTATAAAACTACTGAGTAAAAAAATATACATTTACGTCTTTTTTTACACAAAAAAGGTCTCTTGGTAAACATCGCCACGAGTAATGGTTCTCGAGATATTTGGAATCGAAATTATCAATACCTGTCATCATTGACATAAATTAAACACGTTGACTAAATAGTTATTAGACTGAAATCATAAATTTGAAATCTTTCTGTATTAAAAGTTCAAAAGAAACTGTTTAATCATCAATTTTTCGCAGAAAAACTTATGATTTATTTAAAAAAATAAAAATTTACTATTTCAGTCAAATAACTATGAGTATACTCAACGTGTGCTTATTTTTTGTCAATAATGACGATAATGATTTTTACCAAGAGACATTTTTTATATAAAAAGTCATGGAAATGTATATTTTTTTAGTCAGTGGTTTTATACAGGTACGGTCGAAAAGTTATTACTCTTCAAAGCAGTTAAAACACATGTAGGTGGCGCCCCCTACAAATAGGAGTAATTTTGACATGAAAATCAAATTTCTCGTGTCACAAAACACCAAGATACCAATTTTCATCCAAATATTGATGTTACTTCAGAAATTATTTGGAAAAAATCGAAATAAAAATGAAATTTCTACACCCTGTATCTCCAAACCAAGTATTTTAGGACATACATTTATACGAACTTTTTTACTTATTTTGATCTGTAGAATAAGCTGCCGAAGTTTCCGGAATACAGTTCGCACCACACTGTATAATGATAATTACTAAACGATATTAAATTCACAATATGTTTTGTAAGTTTAAAAATTAAATTTAAATCAGAAGACAGAATCTAGACATGTTCACAAAACTTGTGTGAATTTTCCGTAATATATTTAGTAAAAAACGACGCCACGTCACGTAACGTCTTGTGAAACTGATGCGAATTGAGTAATCGATTGAAAACGTAGTTAGAGGAAAGACGAAGAACACTTTTTAATCTAAGCAGTTTTTTGAACAAAGCAAAATAAAACACTAAATCACCACAATACACCAAAACACTTTTACTTTTACACTGGACACGCGTTTCGCTAACCATGTTAGCATCATCAGCAGATGATTATAAACTAAGTTTTTAAATCATCTGCTGATATATAGCCTATAAAAGAATGTATATACACAAGATTATAAACAGTTTATAATCATCTGCTGATGATGCTAACATGGTTAGCAAAACGCGCGTCCAGTGTAAAAGTAAAAGTGTTTTGGTGTATTGTGGTGATTTAGTGTTTTATTTTGCTGCCTAACACCAAAGGTTCCAACCCTCAACTGTAATCAGTTCCTTGAACAGATGCTTTTTTTAATTAAAAGAACTTTTTATATTAAAGTTATATCTACTTGTTTCAGGGACCCAAACGGTGACGCAATTCCGAACGCACCCACTACAGAAAATAAGCCAGTAACCCAGGACGATAACAACATACCCAGCTTACCATACTGGGATACCTACGACACCATTAACCAATTCTACTTGGAGTTAAGTAAGTTGTACAGGGTTCCCAATATTCCGTAGATATAGTAAAAATTATTCCCTTATTTGTCTCGTTTTTTGACCAAGATCGACCGAACGCTCTACAATAAATTATTTTTTGTGAAAGCGTTTGAAATTGACAGTTTTTGATATTTATTTGAGATTCGAAATGACATTCTTTTAGGCACTAGTATCTAGTGACACTTAAATATTAATCTTCTTCTTCTTTATGTACCGTCTCCTTATCGGAGGTTGGCTATCATCATTGCCATTTTGACCTTGGAAGCTGCGGCCCTAAATAGGTCAGATGACGTGACATTAAACCATTTTCGCAGGTTTCTGAGCCAGGATATTCTTCTCCTTCCAACAGATCTTTTTCTTACAGAAACCTACTAAATATTAATAAACAATGAAAATGTTTATTTATTATAAATCTTAAAGGTACAATTATTTAAACTATTAAAGTGAATACAAGAGGCATCCAGTTTTTCGTCACTAAGAAAAATACAAGTTGTAGGAGTCGGAATAAGTAAATTTCTTGTACTGGCAATGCTGGTAGCTTCTGCTTCTACGTGAACTGTTTTTAATTTCTTATTTGGCGTATCTTTCTGTCCCATGATTCTTTTTGCTATTTCGGTTTTCTGTTCAATTGAATTTTCAATGTAACCTTCAGCAACCGAGCTTGATAGCCAACCTCCATGTCGCTTTAAAACTGTTATGTCCGTTCCTGAATCTGCCAGCATTGTTGCAGAGCTACACCGGAAACAATGACCAGTGTATTCAATGGCGTTGGAGAGTCCAAGAAATTCCACTATATTTTTTGGCATACCTCCAATTGTATTGATTTCAACTGGCAGGGTACAGCAATGATTTTTTCGATAAGTCAAGAAAAATCGCTGATGTGTCACATTGAGTGGTCGAAGATTTGCGTACTTACGAAATACATTATACATTATATATACAAAAAATTGATACCATCTATTGGTCCCTCAGTAATCGTAAACACTCTTGGAAAATTAGTTTTTGTATTCGGAATCTTCACACTAATAAATGACTGAAAATCTTTAATGGCATCTACGGTCAAAAACGTGATTTCTTCCCTCCTATATGCTCCAAATACTCCAACGATTAAGACAACTTTAGCTAACAGGAATTATTTTTCATCGGCTTTTCTTTTTAAAAATGCAATAAGGTTTGTGAATTTGCTAATATCTACGTTTCTGTTCAGGTAAATCATAGTGCGGAGCATCGAATATTTCCTCCACAGAGTTGACGGCTTTAAGGTAGTGGATAACTTCAGGAAATAGGCTAGCAATACCTTATCTGTGAAATTCTCAACATGTTTTTCTTTGACCCAGGTTTCAAAGTTGTTGTAGGTGGTCTCGTATAAGTTTTTCGACTTCTCGGGTACTAACGTGGATAGCGCAGTTTCAGCAGCTTGTCGAATATCCAAAGACTTGTCATTATCATTCATTTTTTCACAAAACTTTGTAGGAAATACGGCGACGTTTGAACCTGACAGAACTTTGTGATTAAACAATGCATAAACAATGCCTTAGAAACCGATTACCAGAACATTTTAAAAAATGTTTAAAAGTAAATAATAATAATAATAGCATGAAAATCTCAAATTATCCGCTTTCACAAAAAATCTTGTATGAAATTTGTTACAAAAAGAGTCTTTTAAGCACTCGACGCATTCACCAATTTTGCGTCCCGTGCTTAAAACACATTCATTTCGGAACTTGATAACTATTACAACTTCTTAACTATTTGATAATTAAATTTTCCAATTTTGAAAATCAGACACATAATTTAAAGTATCTACATTTTTTTCACATTTTCCTTTCCACTAGTACTAAATTTTACACTAACAATTTGCATATTCCAGACTAGTTATCATTTTGTTTTACAAAGTTTGGTTAAATTTCCAGTTGCCGTGTAGATATTATAATTTCATGCTGGGCGCTGCCGCTGATCCATGTTTGAATAATGCTACGTTTAAAATATTGACAATTTTAGAGCTGTATTAAGCAAATGGGTTTATATTAGAGCCAAACACATAACTCTAATGAATAGTCAACACTGTGGGCAAAACTAATTATTGAAAATGCGTTAATAAATTTAGTTATTTGGAGTTAGGAGTTCGCTCATGGCCAGTGGTGGGTCTTCAATAAGGGCACTAATGTGTTATAACTTCTAAGCCACACCATTTTATAGAAATTATTAAGCTTCATTCATAAATTACTAATTCAATTATTTATTTAAGTTAACATTAAATGAAAATTTAGATTTAGTTCAGTCAAAAAAGTCCGGAAGTTTTGCAACTTTGCAATAGGTTTTGGGGTCCCTAACTAAAATCCATAAAATGCACATTTCCAGACTTGCCGCCGGCGCCGCCATCTTACCAAGATGGCACCCAAAATCGGTATTTTGTGAATATCTTCAAAACTATGCGTTTATTGCGATAATTTGAGGAGAGCAAAATTAAAGAGAATAAAATTTCCTATAAAAAATGTTTATATAAATTTTCGCTAAAGTCAACCGTTTAGGCACAAAATCCCTGGAAATTTTACAATTTTGCGTAAAATATGATATATTATGTATAGTCGATTTTCCGAAATCAAATGTCGATTAAGGTTCAATAAAACTAATTTTAGTTTAGTTTCTTCAATTTTGTCATAAAACAGTGGCGCATCATTAATTCGCTCATTAATTTATGAATAATTAATTTTAATTATTGAAAATGTGTACTTGTTTCCACACCACCCAAGAGGTAAAGTATATGGCGAGTTTATTTTCACGTGGTCTCCCCGGAGGCCTACTCCACTAGATAAATTAAAAACTTAACTTATCTGCACAAGCCTGACGGATCTGGCTCATTGATGTCAAAGTCGATCGTATCTGCTGTGCTGGGCTCATCAGGGTGGTCTCTCAATACGACCAACTCTTCATCTTCAGCCGCCAGAGGGATATCTACAGGCAAGTCCAACTCCTCTTCATCGGATTCGTGGAGTGACACTTCAGTGACGTTGTCACAGAATTTTCCATTGCAGTATGCACAAACCATTGAACATTTAATCCTGCCTTTTTGCATCCGCAGGCTTTACCATAGTTGTTGGTTTTGCATTTACAGGATAAAAATGCTAACAGAGATTTTAGAGCTGGATCTTGGGATTTTGGTGACTGGAGTAATGCCTGTTTTTGTTTCCTTCCAACCCCAATCTTCGGCATCTTTGGTACAACCAGACCAATGCTGAACCTGGTGGTAAGTTCGCAATGAATGCTGTCCAGCATGACAATTAATTATTCATAAATTAATGAGCGAATTAATAATACGCCACTGTTTCATGACAAAATTGAAGAAACTAAACTAAAACTAGTTATATTGTATAAACTGCCTACTTTTTTAAAAAGTAGTGTGCATGTTATAGCGATTGTAGCGATATTAAGCTGATAAGAATAGTTATTCCTCCGAAAGATGTTTTACCCCACCCAGCACCCCTATTCGCTCCCGGGTCCCGTAAGCTTCTAAACTGAAAAATGTATAAAAAACAAAGTGTACAAAATGACATTGTACATGTGTACAATAATATATCCTATTTTACGCAAAATTGTAAAATTTCCAGGAATTTTGTGTCTAAACGGTTGACTTTAGCGAAAATGTTCATAAAACCTTTTTTATAGGAACTTTTATTCTATTTGATTTTGCTTTCCTCAAATTTTCGCGAAAAACGCATAGTTTTCGAGATATTCACAAAATAGCGATTTTGGGCGCCATCCGCCGGCGGCAAGTACCCCAAAACCGATAAACCTTCAAAGTTTCAAAACTTCCGGACTTTTTTCCAAGCAGGCCCCTTTTTTGATCCCCAATGACTGAACTAATTCAGAAATTGTAAAACCTTGTATGCCTCCAGATGCTGTCTTTCCACTGCTTGAAATAGGCTGTTACAATTACTCATCATTACATCTACTCATTACAACTGCTCGTTCTGGAACACTTATAGTCTGTCCAACGATAAAATCCTTGACAGTGATAGATGTGTCTGTCATTTTAATTACAAACTAGTTTTTTTTATTTTACAAAGAAATAAGTTGGTACAATTGGAACGTATAATTATTATATTTAAATTTTGAGTGACAAGTGATTATTTCAAAATATTGTGAAAAAAAATGTGTAAAACTGAAAAAATCTAATCTTGGTTAATTAACTTTAATCTTAATTTTTTTCTGCTGTACTAAAATGTATTATTTACCTATCGTGTGGTGATATTTTACAGATACTCCAGTTTTGGTACCATATACGAGATAGTATACAACTTTATTTGTGGATAATACAACTCTCTGGCCATAGTCTCTGGCAAACTGTGTTTCTGGCGGTCTCTGGGCACCGAATATTAACTGTAAACTATGGTCTGGGTCAACACTTAATTTTCCCTCGAGTTTTCCTCCACTTAATTTTAAAAAACACAAAACACAAGTAACAACACAGTCCAAAATGCAAAATGCAAAATATTTATCATTTCTATTTGCCATAATTTGACACAAAATTATAACCTATAATTTAGCAAGAGTTTGACAATTCTCAAAAATCTTAAGTCGAGTTCATACGCATCGCAGTCCGTTTGTCGTTCATCGTTGCGTCAAACCAATAATATTGAAATATGATCTGTCGTTTTTGAAATAAACCAATAAAACTGGTTAAAAACAGCAAGAGACGACGCCTGACGTATTTATTTATCAACCCATCCATAGTTAACTAAAAAATGTTAGAAACTTTTTTAGTGAAATAAATAGATTGGTATGGAAGTCACCTGCTTTTTTTCTGTCATCGTCTGTCGAAATCTTACCTGAAAAAAAAACAGAGTATACATCACCTTGAATCTTTTTCCCAATCTCTATTTTATTGTTGATGGACTCTTCGATATATCCTTCCGCAACCGTTGCAGATCGCCATCCTCCGTGTCTTTTTAACGTTGTCATGTTCACTCCTGCATTTGCCAGTAATGT